GTCTGACAGATGATAGACTGAACCTCTCACTCCCCACAGGTGTCTGACAGGTGTGACTACGTCTTCGTCAATGGCAAGGAGATGAAAGGCAGGGTGGACGTGGTGGTGACCTTTACCTACCTGCACTTGCAGGGGACCCTCGAGATGACTGTGTGGGTGCCCCAGCTGCCCCTGCACATCGAGGTCTCGGACACGGAACTCAACCAGATCAAGGGCTGGAGGGTGCCCATTGTCACCAGTAAGAGGTGGGTGTGCCTCAACAAGGAGATCCCTGGTGGCATCATGGCGAAAACGCTCAGCTGGTCACTGAAATGTCAGCAGATCAAAGCCCCTAGCCTCTCAGAGGGAGAAAGATGTGGCCGTCTGTTTCCTCCGAGATTCACAGCCATGGATTCCTGTGTGGCGGTTCCACTCTGTCCTACAGGGTCACCAGGAGGCAGAACTGGGTTTAGATACAACTGGTGTGATGAAAACGAACATGAGTAACAAACGATTTGTATAGCCAAGGAGCCCTGTTGGTGCACTGGCTAAAGTGTTTCACTGCTAACAGAAAGGTCAGTGGTTCGGACCCACCAGCCTCTCAGAGAGAGGAAGTCATGGCAGTGTGCTTCCTTAAAGGTTTACAGCCTAAGGCTCCCTGTAGGGCCACTGACCGGACTCGGTGGTGGCGGCTCCTAGGGCTGTACCAATTATTCACGCAGTACAGGTGGGCTCTGACTCACGGTGTCCCCAGTACAGCAGAACAGACGTAGCCAGTCCTATGCTATCGTCACTGCCACTGCTCTTGTTGAGACCACGGTTGTGGCCACTGTGGATGTTGGGTGCCTCTTGTGTCAGGACTGATTTCCAGAAGTCGGTCTCCAGGTCTTTCTTCCTAGTCTATCTTAGTCTGAAAGTTCTGCTCAAAGCTGTTCAGCAGTGCAGCAGCACTCAGACCCTGGCTACCCCTTGTGGAGGTCACCCCGCATGGCAGTCTGTGGCCCGGGAAGGCAGGGGCGGTGGCGATTTCACCTTCCTGACCCTAGGGCCCCTGACCTGTGACCTTCTTGACAGGCCAGCCCAGGACAGCGAGGAGGACGAGGAGGAGGAGGAGCGGCGTGGCCGGGGCTGTACCCTTCAGCACCAGCATGCCACAGTGCGGGTGCTCACCCAGTTTGTGGCCGAGGCAGCTGAGCCGGCAGGGCACCTGGCCCACCTGCTGGGCTCCGACTGGCAAGTGGACATCACAGAACTGGTGCACGGCTTCATGCAGGTGGAGGACCCCAGGGTGGCCCGGCTGCAGGGTGGACAGGTCCTCGTCGGACAGGAGCTTGGGATGACCACCATCCAGGTACGGTGCTCCAAGGCCTGGGATCCCCGTCCCCAACGACTGAGGGTCCAGTGAGGGCCCCCAGTTCCCCCCGAGAACCTAATGAGGGCTCCTGGTCCCCCTAGGGTCCACTGGGAGCCCCCAATCCTCCCTCTGAGAGTATAGTGAGGGCTCCCTTGGTCCCCACTGCCCAGAGTCCAGTGAGATCCAGTCCCCACCCCACCAGGACCTAGCCTGGTACCATTGATTAGAACAGTGGGTTTTTTTTTTTTTTTTACAGTGAGTAGATTTTGATCACAAGGTCAATTTGAACCGCAAGACTAGTGGGTTCAAACTCAGCAGCTGCTCCTTGGAAACCCTATTCAGGGCCACTATGAGTCAGGAATGACTTGATGGCACTTAACAACAACAGGTTTACAGACGTTGCTGGGGACAGTGCTGTGACAGAAATCCTGAGAGTCATCATCTGTTACTTAACATCTGCGGGACTCCGAGCCGGCGCCTCTGGTGGGTCTGCGTGGCCCTTGGGTTTGTGGTTTTCCCGGAGTGATAGCCAATGGTACCACGGTGGGAGTCGATCCTGTGAGGTGAGCTAGCCTCATCAGAGTCGCCAGCAGGACCACCAGCCACCCACCAACCTGTCCACTGTCCTCAAACCCCTTCCCTTTCCTTCATGGTGTTCCTGCCTCAGCTAAGCTCCGGCCTCAGGCTGGGAAAACTCGGGCATTTCAGAAACAGACTGGAAGAAGGAACCGTGGCAGCCACGCACACAATGCCCTCGGAGACTGGACAAGAGAGGACCAGCATTGGGAGCTAGGAGACAGATGTGTTTATGAGGTGCAGTCCTCAGAGGCTCCCCTGGGAGGGCCTTTCACCTCCTACCTGGGAACAAATGGAGGTCTGACGTCTCATCATGTACCTGCTTACAGATTAGGCCGTGTCCTCAGGAACCCTGCCCTGGAGTCTCCAAACAGGAGTCTGTGAGGGTCTCTTGTAGCCAACGTGTGGTGACTTATGGGAAATTCAGAGTATATGCACCATGGACCTCAGTCACCTTCAAGCCTGGAGCTGAACTCACCTCCGAGGATCAACTTTCAGCCAAACAGCAGCCAGGCCTGGAAGGTGGACGGCCACAGCACGGAGGTGCACACTCCTCAGGACAACCAAGCACACTGACAGGAAGGGCCAGGAAGGAAGACAAATGGAAACAGGAAATGCAGGGAGGAAGTGGGAAGAGGGCTCTTCCATGGTGGGGCTAGCAATGACAGGACACAAAATGTGTCCGAGCTGTTGAACGGATGAACGGAAAGCCCATTTATCTATAAACTGTCACCTGAATCCATAAAAGGAGAGACCTGGGTCTGGAAGCAACTGGGAGCCACATGCTCACAGAACCGTGAGAGCTGAGGAGGTACCATCTGTGCAAACTGACAGAGGACCAGGGGTGGGGGGTGGGGGGGTGGGACCCAGGGGACAGCTGCCCCTCACATCCCAAACTGCCCACTGTGGCCCAGAGAGTTGGGAATCGCTTTATAGGAAACCCTGTTGGTTACATGGCTGTGGATTTGATTTCCAAAGGCTATTTGTGTCAAGCAAGGACACTGACAACCTTCTTCCACTGACTCCCAAGGTGAGGAACCTGAGTGCCGACCCCCGGCATGTCCTGATGCTGACCTCTCGAAGCATCAGCCCCTCCATTCCAGAGGTCATCTGAGAGCAAAGAGACCACAGTGCTGGTTAAGAAACCCAGAATCGGGGTGGTGGGTGAGGGCATGGGCCAGCTGCCCCAGCATCGAAGTGGAAGTGTCTCCGGGGACCCCCTTGTCTGAATTCCCACTGAGTCCTCCTGGGTTATCACTTCACTACCCTGCTGCCTCTGGACGCTGTTTTCTCACACTCACCTCATGGGACCCCGAAAGTGGAGACCGTGTTTAGATAGAGCTCTGATTCTGGGCTTTAGGAGCCCCAAGGGGACATCACTCTGGATATACATCCTCACGAATATCAGGACAATGAGAGAACTGTGACAAGAGGGCAGGGGAATGCGGCCCAGGTCCTTCTGAAGGTTTTCATAGGGTGTCTTACCTCTCCAGTGCTGGGCTCCCAGAGATCCCACAAGTGGGTGCATGAATTGGTTCTCTCACACTTTAAATAAGAGACACGAAGTCCTAATCCAGGGTTTCAGCTCTCAGGGAAGGCTTGCCCTCTCTGTCAGCTCTGGGAGGGGAGGGCCTTGTCTCCTTTCAGTATCTGGGGTCTGGTGTTCCTTGGCAGTCTCCGTCTTGGTCTAGGAGATTCCCAGCACAGGGACCCTGGACCCACAGACTGAGCTCCCCTCCTGCTCTTCTTCTTGGTGGTAGGAGGCCCCTTGCTCTCTTCTGTCTTCTTTCTCCTGTATCTCTTGTCATATCCAAGGTGAGGCAGGCCACACCAAGGGACACTCCCAGGCCTGTAACCTGAGTAGGGGTATTACATCCCACCCCAACCCCCTTACAACTCTTGGCTGCTTACATAAATCACATCCTGGGCAATGAGGACACCATTGCATAACTACCAAAGTGCCTTGAGACTCAGGGACCAGAGGAGCTGACACATTGGGGTCCTGGGGGCCACAATGAAATCTATACCCTAGGAAATTCTCCAAACCAGCTCTTCACCACGGGAGCAGAGGGGCCAGGGAGGGGGAGGTGACTCCACACATGCTGGTCAGAAGCAGGAGTCCCTGGTCAGGGTCTCAACTGAAGCCCCACTTCCCGGGTCATTACTGACAAGAACTGAGGAGAGATGAGATTTTGGGATGTTGGCATTGAGGTGGAGATGAGGCACCTGTTTACCAGAGGATACGGGACCACCTTCCCCATCACTGAGCATCCCAGCCCTACACCTTCCAAAATATGGAATGTGGATCCCAGTGACACCAAGACAGTGTTATGGGCTGCATGGATCAATAATCACTATTCCTGGGTTACACCATGATGTACACGTGTGTGAGGGAAAAAAACTACATAAAAAGCAAATACCAAAACCACAGTTCTTCAGTGCTATATCATTTACACACAAAGCAAAACAAATGTCAAGTTCTGATAGTTACGAGAAAATATTAGTATCTATTCCTGAAACCATACTGAGACATAAACATACCCATTGATTATCGAAGGAACAGTATTATCTGTGAAAGTACACAGGAACACGTCACAAAGCATTGTTGCTGAGGTTCCAGTTGACACATGGGGCCCTGGGGTGGCGCTGTAGGATAAGCACTAAACCAAAAGGTCAGTTTGAACCACAAGGTTGACAGTTCAAGCTCACCAGCAGCTCCTGCGAAATCCTATACAGGGTCACTATGGAACGGAATCAGTTCGACGGTACTTAATAAAAACAGCAACAGTCCACACATGTGCGGTGTATTCCAGACAGCGTCTCTGCCATCAGTGGATGGTTAGGGACAACTTCTTTCAGGGATACACTTGTCTTACATTCCTTGTTGTTGTTGTTGTTGTGAAGTGCTGTTGAGTAGATTCCAACCCATAGCAACCCTGTATAGGGTTTCTGAGCAACAGCCGGTGAGCTTGAACTGCTGAACTTGTAGTTCAAATGGTTTTGCAGTCTGGCACATTAGCCCCAGCGCCACACCAGGACTCCTTAGGGGCCTTTAAATAAAACATCCAATCAAGACAGTGACTTTTGAGGGATCTGCTGGGCCAGTCAGTGCACGGCAGAGAGGTCGGCTCGGAAGGTTCGGGTGCCAATCCAAGAACACAGAGTCCTGGGAGGAAGGTTTAGAGAGCTGGAAACGCCGCCGTCAGAAGTATACTGACAGAGATGGAGGAGATGCGGGTGAACAATAGCTTCATGTCGTGATGTTTTTCTTTAATAAAAGCCCCCATGATTTTGTAGCAATGCTTTTTAACTGACTCTGATGTAACTACCTGCGAGGATGCGAGCTCAGGGTCTTGTACCAGATGCTGGTAGGAGTTACGGGAACTTGTGAGGGTTTTGAACCTCTGTGAGGTCCAGCTTCCTCTTCTGGAATGTAAACAATCTGGTACCTAGCTCCTAGTGTGGTTCTGAGGAGTCTGAGTACACAAACTCTCCAGGTACAGCACTTAGTAAGTATGGGGTCACCATCATTGCAAATGCAATCAACAAGGAAACAGTTTCAAATAAGATGGATATTGTTCCAAGCATGCCAGTCATTAATGCAGTTGAATTATGGTATTAGCCAAAACTACCAACAGTACCAGGGACTGCCAGAAGAACAGCCAAGCCTGTCTTGGAGGAAGTACAGCCAGAATGTTCCGTAGAAGCCAGGATGGCCAGACTTCATCTCTCCTTCTTTGAACATGTTATCAGAAGGGACCTGGAGAAGGACGTCACGTTTGGTAAAGTGGAGGGTCAGCGATAAAGAGGAAGACAGCTGACGAGATGGGCTGTCACAGTGTCAGCAGCAATGGGCTCAAATGTGACAGCTGTGAGGACAGCGCAGGACTGGGCAGTGTCTCCTTCGCTTGTGCCTAGTGTCGCTATGAGTTGAACCAACTCGAGGGCACCTAACAACACCACCACCAATGCCAATCATCACTGTAAACATACAACACCACCAATGCCAATCATCACTGTAAACATGGACCCTTCCTAATGCGGACCATGGTAGCATTGAGGTGGTCTGTAGGGTATAGAGGGGTGTCACCCAGGGCACCGACTTGCCCCCTCTGAGAAGCATGTTCAGGTGCACAGGTGAGCTACAGGTATGAGCAGAGCCCCTCCTGTCTGTGCTGCCCCGGTGCCTGCCCCTCACAGCAGCGGCCCATCTCCTGCTCTTCCCTCAGATCCTGTCTCCCCTGTCGGATGCCATCTTGGCTGAGAAGACGGTCATGGTGCTGGACGAGAAGGTGGCCATCACAGACCTCGGTGTCCAGCTGGTGACGGGCCTGTCACTGTCCCTACAGCTCAGCCCGGGCAGCAACAGGGCCATCTTCGCTACAGCAACTGCTCAGGAGCTGCTGCAGAGGCCCAAGCAGGTGGGACAGGGCTCGGGGCTCGGCGGGAGTCACAGGGTGACTGGTGTGTGGGTCCAAGGGCGGCTTGTGGAGTGGCCGCCTGCTCTGCCTACCCCCAGCTCCCTGACCAAGAGCCAGGCCTGAGAGTCCCCAGAGACAGAGGATGGACAGAGCCCCTCCTCAACTGGGCTGCTTGTGGGGACTCACATGTTCCATCCACGCTGGTCAGCTATCCAGACAGGCCTGGGTGAGGGCAGGACTGCCCCTAGATGGTGAAAGGAGGACTCAGTAGTGACGCCTCCTGCCGCTGTGTCCCTGCCCACCACTTCATGTTTAGTGCAGAAACAGAGCCCACGGCATGGGTTGTCTTTTCTGTTTTTTCAGTGACTGAGGATGAGCATGTGCTGTGTGTGTGCATGTGTGTGTGTGTGTAGTGTGTGGTTATGGGTATGTGTGCTGAGTGTACATGAGTGTGTATGTCATGTGTTTATGTGTTGCATATGCATGTGGGTGTGGTGGTGTGGTGTGTACCTAGGTGTATTGTGTCTGCTTACATGATTGATGTGTGTGTACTGTGTCTGCATTTATGTGGGACATATATTTTGCACATGTATGTAGTCTGTTGTCTTAGCCTGGGATCTCTAGAGAACCAAACCCGTGAGGCTTACATATAAAGAGAAGTTTACATCAAAGAAATGGCTCACACAGTTGTTGTTGTGAAGTGCCATTGAGTCAGTTCTGACTCTTAGCGACCCTATATAGAGTTTCCATGGAATAGCTGGTGGGTTTGAACCACCTCCCTTTCAGTTAGCATTCTGGTACTGTTCCTATAGCCCCACACCACTACCCACACACTGTTGTAGAGGTGGACACGTGCCAAGTCTGGGGGTCAGACAAACCAGGATCAGCCATCACTAGAGCAGGCCACTGCCTAAAAAAGTCCAGAGAACCAGAGCGCACATGATCCCGGACCCAGGCCCGGCAGAAGGGAAACCAGCATGGTCCGAGTGCCCCTCACTTTGGAATCAGGCCACACGGCCAGGAAAACTTGCTCTTAGTGATCAGCTGCTTGGATCCATGGTAGACTTGAGTGCGTTCCATTAGCTCTCATCACTCATCAGACCCCAAGAACGCTGACCCAGTAATGCTGATTCAAAACCTTAACTGCCACATTTGTGTGCATGTGTATTAAATGAGTGTTGTGTCTGCATGTGTGTATAATTGTGTGTCTTTTTGTGCATGTGATTGCTGTGTGTATAGGACGTGTTGTGTACAAGCATGTTGTGTGAAGGTGTGTGTATGTTTGTGTGCACTGTAAGTGTTGTCTCAGTGTGTAAATGTGTGATGTAAGTATGTGTGTGTTGTGTGCACATCTGTGTATATATGAGCTGCATGTGTGGTTTGTGTGTATATGTGTGTTTCTACATGCATATGTGTGTGGTGTGTACTGTGGGGGTGTGCTGTATATGCGTGGGGTGTGTATATGTGTGTGTTCTGTGTGTGTGTGTGTGTGTGTGTTTATGTGTATGTGTACAGCATATTGTCTATGCATGTGTGTATTTTGTTATGTGTGTACAGTGTGTACATGGATGCATGTGTTGTGTATGTGTATAGTGTATTGTCTATTCATGTTTGTGTGTGTGCTGTATTATGTTGCTATCTGCATGTATATGTGTGTCCTGTATGTATACGTGTATTTGTAAGTGTATTGTATATGCATGTGTGTATGTATGTGTACTATATATGTGGTGTGTGTGTGTGTGTGTGGTTTCCATGTGTCCATGGGTGTTTGTGTGTTCATGTGTATGTGTGAAGTGTATCATAGGTGCATGCGTGTAAGTACATGTGGTGTGCAGGGGGGCGTTTGCACATGTGTGTGGCTTCCATGTGTATATGGAAGGAATTTTCCAGTACCCCATGTTCTCTCCTCAAGCACACACATCCCATGACCCTTGTCTGACTACAGAAGACAAGGGCCTTCCACATTGGTCCTCTCTACATCCATGGAAAGGGGTGTCCTCACATGGGGCTGGCAGGATGTTTTTCTGGAAGCTTTTCTTGCTCAGTGGCTCTACTAAGACCAGGGTGTGTTCTGAGTGGGCATAGTGCTGAGCCAGTCTGGTGGGGGACACAGAGAGCCTGCCTGTCCCCACATCACTACTGGTCCTGGGCAGGTGGGTTCTGGGTAAGAAGAAACTTGGAAGTGGACGGTCCCTGTCAACTAAGAATTTTGGCCAAAGGCAGACCTCCCTGTTTCAAGGAAAGAAGTCAGCCCGGATATAAAGTGCAGACAACAGACAAGTCACCCCAGCTGCTCTGTCTGTGGTAAATTAAGGTACACATGCCAGTAAATCATCAAGGCTCACGGGCAGGATCGAGATTATGGCCCTTAGACATCCTACAGGTCTGGAAGTGAACTCACCCCTGTAGCTCAATTTCTAGTCAAATAACACACATGTGTATAAGAGGAACTATCACACCAGTGAGCTACTCACACGGTAGAATCCTGAGTCATCTGATATCAAACGGGCAGCATGTACCCAAGGACAAAGTTCTGAACAGTTAGGAAAGAAGGAGAAACGGAGACAGGTAACACAGGGAGGAAGTAGGATAGTGATGTTGCATTGTGGGATTTGTAGTCAGTGAGCTGAAACAAAAATGTGCCTGAATCCTTGAGTAGAAAGCTAATCTGCTATGTAAACCTTCACCCACTTCACAATAGAAAGAAACCAAAAGAGCTAAGAAAGAGATAAGACACAGAGTCAGGCCAAAGAGCTTGTCCATTTCTGGTGCGGACAGCTGAACACACTGGCCTATGGGTCAGTTCCATGGTTGTTGGACAGAAATCCAAGTGTGTCCGAATGTCCTGCTCGGATTCATGACGGGGTGGAGGACCCGGATGAGTCTGTATCACGCCCAGTGGATTTTACGATGGGTCTTGGCTGGAGTTTCCTTTTAGCTGCTGGTCCACATCACTGCCGCACCACATATGAACGGGTTGGCTGGGCTACCGGGCTCACCGGCCACACTTTTAGCTCTGTATTTGTGTGTGTGCTGAAAATATACACCATCCATCATACGCCGTTCCAGCAAGATCTGCTGGTACAATTCAGTGGCACGTGTTACGTTCTTTAAATCGTGCCAGGATTCTTGCGGTCCTTTTCCCAGTCATCCCGCCGTCTTCAGCATCACCTCCGTGCTCCTTCCCCTCCCTCCCACCCCCTAGTAACCAGAAGAATCTTCACAGTGCCTTTTCTGATTTCCCTGAGTGACAACCTGCAGCATCTGTCTCGAGACCCGCCCAGGTTAACATGGATCGGGATGCCCTTGTATGTGGATAAGTGCTGACCCCGTATGTGTATGTGTGCACCACTTCTGTTTCTCCGTTCACCTGCTGAGGCACACTTAGGCACACTGGAGCGTTCCTGCCCTCACTGCTTCTGGGTGGACACTCGGTTGGAGATCGCTGCCACAGGGTAGTTCTCGGCCCAGCTTTTTGAGGACACGCCAAACTATTGTTGATAGTAGCAGCGCCATTTTTCATTCCCACCCACGCAGGTGAGGGTCCCACTTTCCCCACCACCTTAGCAGCACTTGGTGTTTCTGTTCTGTGATCATTGCATTCTATGGGGTTGAGGTGGTATCTCGTCATGCTAACTGCAGGGTCAGCAGTTGAAGCCCACCGGCCACTCCTCAACAACCCTATACAGGGTGATTGTGAGTCAGAACCAACTTGACGGCACTTAACAATGGCTAATGTATGATACCTGGTGGTACAGTGGTTAAGTGCTCACCTGTGAACCAAAAGGTTGGTGGTTTGCACCCATCAGCCGCTTTGGGGAGAAAGATGAGGCTATTTGCGTCTATAAAGATGACCGTCTCAGAAGCCCTATGGGTCAGTTCTACTTGGTCCTGCAGGTTCAATATGAATCTAAGTCAATTCAGTGGCAAGTGGGTTTTGAATGCAGTCCTGATATAGTGCTGTAGGATAAGCTCAGGATCAGTGGTTCAAACCCATCAGTTGCTCAATGGAAACACTGTCCAGGGCTGCTGTGAGTCCGAGCCAGCTTGACAGCACTTCACAACAACACTGACATTGAGCATCGTTTCATCTGCTGGTTGGATATTTGAATATCCTCTTTGTGAAATGTCTGTTTAAGTTCCTCTGGTGCTCAGTTTCCTGTTGAGTTTTAGATGGGAGAAGGCAGGCGATTTGACTTCTATCAGATCTATGAAGCCCAAAAATGTTCTCCTCAAGTATAGCTTGTCATCCTGGCACAGCTCTGCAGGATAATGCCCTGGACTGCAAGGTCAGTGGTTCAAACCCACCAGCCACTGAAACCCTATACAGGGTCGCTATGGATCAGAACTGAATAAAGAGCAACAACAAAGACTAACTTGTCTCTTCACATTGTTGATAAACTAGACACATGTGACGTGCCTTTGTTCTTACTTCCAAAAACGAAATAGCATGAAGACAAATTTTATTTGGGGTCCCTGGATAAGTGCAAATCATTCACATGCTCCGCTGTTAACTGAAAGTTTGAAGGTTCAAGCCTACCAAGAGACGAACCTCAGAAGGAAAGCCTGGTGACTTAGTTCTGAAAAATCAGCCGCTGGAAGCCCTCTGGGGAGCACAGTTCTACTCTGACACACAAGGGGGCGTCATGCATCAGAATCGACACCACAGCAAAAATCGCAACAAAGACTAGTCCTGTCGTGCTCGTGGCTTACTCACTGCAAGGGCAAGAGATCTACTCCAGCAAGGGATCTATTACAAAGCATCTAATAAAGCCCACAAGCCGCTCCTCAGAAACCCTATACTTAAGAACCAAGAGACTCTACAGAACAGACTCGACGGCACATAACAACATTAAATCACAAGGGATCTCTTGCAGGGCCGGGGCATCTCGCAAATGCAGCTGTAAGATCTCGGAGGGCTGGAACGTCAGTACTCTTTCACGCAGTCTCTTCTCTGTCAAATCCATGGATCTGGTTTGTTCTTTTCTTCCTGAAGGCATATTCTCTCCCTGAACACTTGCTTATATATGGCCCCTTGAGACTGTCCACAGACAGGCTTTCTTGAGCAGAGCATGCAATTGTGATTTGGTTCTACTGATAGAGAAGCATGAAGGCCAAGTTGCATGTGGGGTCTCCAACGTTGGGTTGTTCCAACTCTCCCGAGTTCCCATGTATCTCCCACAGCTAACTGTACTTGTCATGGATTACTTATTTCCCATGAGCGGGGGTGATGTGCAGACAGACAGACAAAAGCAGGGCTGGTGACAGAGATGCTCAGAGACTCAAGGGTGTGGAGATGAAAGGTTCTGATGGTCCCTCCATCCATGTGACTATACTCTGGTGTTCCTCATTCCGTGCTTGGGATGGTGCAAGGTCGGGAGGCAGGAAGAAGCAATGGACCTGCCACATCACTGTTGATACAAAGGCATCTCTACCAAAATTGATGAAGCCACCAGAATATTCCTTAGCAACAGGGATGATGACATTTCAGCTCATCTACTCTGATCATCAGGAAGGACCAGTCTCTGGAAAAAGACGTCATGTTTGGTAGAGTAGAGGGTCAGCAGAAACAAGGGGACCCTCTATGAAATGCATCCACACAACAATATTCTCAAATGGCCACAAAGATAGCATGGGACCCAGCTGTGTTCTCTTCTGTCCCCATGAATCCGAGTTGGCTCAATGGCAGCCAACAATTCCTATGGAGGGCTGCCGTGAAACTGAAGGGTGTCTCGTCAATGAGTGCCCACCTGCCCAATGCAGACTCAAGGAAGGAAGATCTGAAGCAGCAACGTGAAAGGCAAAGATTCAGAAGCACGAAAGTCTTAGCTCTGGACACCTTTTGGTCTCCCAGTTTCCTCCTGTGGGTGGGATATGGGGATCAAAGACCCAAAAACTTTGTTAATAGAGAACTGCTCTCTGTCTAGATGGTTTACCAGCTCACTTCAAGTCAAGTCCACCCCTGCCGTTACAGTCCGTGAAGACAGGACTAAGGCAGGCCCTCTGGGTGTCCTTTTCTTGATTAGAGGCTTCATTGTATGTTATGAGCAGTAAGTGGAGAATCAGTAGTATTCAATAACGTAAAGGTAATGTAGTAAATACACTTCATGGAATGTACAACACTGGTAAGCGATCCCAATAGCCAGTAATAGCCCTCGACCTGCAGTTTATTCCTGTGCAAAAATACACCCAGCACTGCCCAAGGGACCCATTGTTCTGTTACCACGGTTCACTAGAAGGGAAGAAAACAAAATCTTATTACAGTGTTTCCTACCGGCCTGTTTTGATGTTGTCACTTTTGTTGTTTTCTTTCCATTTTACGTCTTTATAAGAAGGAGTTTTCTTTCAGGGGTTTGTTGCTGTTGTTAGATGCTGTCAGTTGGTTCATAGTGACCCCCATGTACAACAGAACAAAGCTCTGCCCGGTCCTGCACCGGCCTCACGATTGTTGCTGTATGTGAGCTCATTGTTGCAGCCAGGGACTAGCTCACCCCCCACCCCCCGATAACCTGAGATGAAGTCTCACCATCCTCACTTCTATCTAAGAAGTATTGTGGCTGCAGTCCTTCCAAGATAGATTGGTCATTCTCCTGTCAGTCCATGGTATATTTAGTATTCTCCGACAAGAGATTACTTCTCTTTCGGTCTTCCTTAATCATTGTCCAACATTATTAATAGGAGGTGATTGTAAATACCATGACTTGGGTAAGGCACACTTTTGTCCTCAAAGTGACATCTTTTCTTTTTAACACTTTCCAGGGGTGTTTGGCAACAGATTTGGCCAATACAGGACATATTTGATGTCTTAACTGATGCCTTTCTGGGTATTGGTGGTGGATTCAAGTAGAATGAAATCCTGGACAACTTCAATCTTTTCTCCATTTATCATGATGTTGCTTATTGGTCCAGTGGTGAGGAGCGTGCTGTCTTTTTTATGTTAAGGTGTTATCCATACTGAAAACCATACTCTTTGACCTGCATTCTTAATATCCATG